ATCAGGCCTATGTTGAAGGCTTTGCTGCTGTTATGTTACTTGTTTTGTGGCCATGTTGGTCCACTTGGCTGCTTTTTCTCTGCCGCTTGACTTGGGCAGGTGGTCTTCTGCGTAGTGTGCGTAAAACACCGTTTATTTAAAAACACAACATGAAACAATTAGGTCCGACTACCCTGCAGCAATAAAATGCTACTGCTCCGCTTTCCTTGTTTTTCCGAACTGCTTTGCAGCTGGAATCAAACAGTTAGAGGCTTGTCTGATCTTTTTGGGTGGTGAGGTGTCATTGGAAATTGCTCTTGCTCATGCAAAATCTGATGCTCTGGCAACCCGCCAGTTAAAGAACAATCAACTTACATGGGATAGTCTATAGTGGAGTGTCCCCAATCCCCCCAAAGAAGATCAAAGAAGTGCTTTGCAGGTGTTATTCAAGTCATCCTGCGTAGGCCACTATGTCTTACCCTCCACCTCCAAGCCCCGGCAGCGTCGTTTTCCAGCTGCCCTGCGATGCATTTCATCCCACCGCCAGGTCTCCGCGCCAAATCTCCGGTGGCCGCGGCGTCTTGGGCCACAGGCAGCTCGAAGCCCATGTCCTCGTGGGCGGCGTCTGGGCGGGTGCTGGCTGTCGCCGTGCGCAGCTGTCATGGCATTCATCATGTGGAGCTGGAAAATCAAGGTGCAGGAGATGGTAGGATTGGAAGTGGGCAAGTGGCGGTAGCTAACTCAAATTGATTCTTCCAGTCTGTAATAGTAAGCTCAAACTTACAATCCGGCAATAGTCTCTGTGGGACAGTGTGGGATCACAATCATACAAAGCAAACAGCCTGCAGGCTGCATGGAACCATCTGAATCTGCCTCAGCTCCCCTACCGTCTTTCCTACCCTCCAAACGCCATGCTCAAACCCGTTTGGGATCCAGTCGTACCGAGCCTCAGGTACGGTGAGGACGGAGACACTGTTATGTAGCTTTGGAGCGTCCGAGTACCTTCTGAGAAGGTACGACTGGATCCCTAAGGAAAGAAACAAGCTCGCTTCGCCATCGACCTGGCGCCATGGCCCTGTTGGATCGTCCGGTACAAGAAACCGGGTGCTGAAGCATGCTGAAGCCACCCATGCTTCAGTGGAACAGCGTCATGGCCCAAACCATCGATGGAAGAGTTACATACTGTACACTTATCGGACTTATCCGTTTTCTATCATAAATGGACCCATCCATTTCGTCGTGACTGTTCGAACACCCACAGAGTCCTCGACTTGACAAAAACAGAAACTGTACAGCCTGCAGGTGGTATTGGATTCCCTTGGATTCCAATCCATCTGACTGGTGCGACGAAAGCAGGGAATGGTGGCTGGATCCAATGGAATCCCTATTGGGGGCGAAACTTCCCTTCTTCCCTACGAAATCGTCGCACCAGTCAGCCATACATGGTCTGGGTGACCATGCGGTTTCAGGGCTCCGGACCAGCAGCCGAGCCAAAACGTCATCGACCTGCCGCATCCATGCGACCCATGCGAAGCGTTGAAACGGGCTCCACCCGAAGCGAGTGAAACGGAGGTCGTTGGAGGTCGCAAAAGGGACTGGAAGCATTACATCCACACCACATGTATGACGCCCCACCCCAACCACACATACCCATACATGCAGAGGACTGGAATACTTATCGTAATACATGTAAGCAACTCGTCCATGGTCTGGGCGTGTTGACCACGCTCCACGGTGAAGGACGCGAAAGGCACGAGCTGCCATTAAAGACCATGCTGGAACCTCCTTTTCAGACCATGAAAGGTGTAGTGAAGTCTCCCTGGACTAGGTGAAGTTCTCCCTACTTCCCGATCAAATCGTCTGACAAGTCCGGGTTTTGACGCTGAAGTTCACACCAAGAACAACATGTGATGAGCCTGTTCAGAGCAGGACAGGAGGTCGTCTTACCCAATTGGAGATTCACCCAAAGGGAAAATAGAAAGGACCCTTAAGCAAAAACAGTGATATGTATACTGGGGTGTATTTCTAATAGTTGAATAGTTGATTTTCAAAAAATATCGATTTCCCTTGAGTTTACCTTATTCCTTCTGCCACCCCCTTCTCAGCAGCTGATGCTTCCATAGGGTGGATCTTCACTTCACATTGGTCCTTGGTACAATGATGTCATTGTAGCTCAAGTACTGACAAGATGACAAGTGAAGGATGTTGATGTCCCTCATTGGGTCTAAACAAGCCAAGTCTATAGCCCTTTGGATGTGTTGTTTCATGTTCTTTCAAATCCGTAGGGTAGGCAACAGTTGCTGGAAAGGATGTTCACCAAATGTTCTACCACCGACATCCGGATAGGACTGTGAGTCACTGAGTCGATACTAATGGAATTGGCATAAATCCAAGCACATGCATGAGTCAACAAAGCCATGTCACTCTCAGGGTAAGATTCTACTGGAACTAGTTCTGACTGCACTTGTGGGTCAGTATCGGGCAAGTCCAGCATCCGTTGGTAGTTGGCTGAGTTAAAGGATGTTAAAGGTGCAGGTTGTGGGAGATTGAATTTACTGACTGTTGAATTAACAGTAATCAAGATTTCATCACCCCTGTAAAGCATCCTCCATCTATGCTTCGGGCCACTTGCCTAACAATCCTGACTGAAGTCCGGTAGTCATCCAGCAGCCTTCTTCCTCATGACAGCGCCTGCAGAAGCAAAGAGGCAGCAAAGCTGAAGCATCAGAAAACCATCACCAGCTGCACTGAATCCTTTTTAATCAGCTTCAATCACAGGATCATATCCGGGGAGCTGGACAAAGTGCTCAGTGGATTCATGTCTTAAATCAAGCCAGGGACTGTTCTAAAAAATATCTGGAGCGTATGGGATAGACTAGGTGTATTTCTAATAAACAGTGTTCTAACAGGGTGCGACGGTCGCACCCTGTTAGAACACTCGCTCGCGTCAGTGAGTGTTCTAAGGGGGGTCTGATTTCGCTGGACCTGAGCAAAGATTGTGTCTTTCGCTGGAAAACTTTGCGACGGACGCAAGATTAAGTCAGCTCCAGCGAATCCAGGGGTGTCCTTAGAACACTCGCTCGCGTCAGTGAGTGTTCTAACAGGGTGCGACGGTCGCACCCTGTTAGAACACTGTTTATTAGAAATACACCTAGTCTATCCCATACTCTCCAGATATTTTTTAGAACAGTCCCTGGCTTGATAATTGATTTAAGACATGAATCCACTGAGCACTTTGTCCAGCTCCCGGATATGATCCTGTGATTAAAGCTGGCTAAAGGGGATTCAGTGCAGCTGGTGATGGTTTCTGATGCTTCAGCTTGGCTGCCTCTTTGCTTCCGCAGGCGCTGCCATGAGGAAGAAGGCTGCTGGATGACTACCGGACTTCAGTCAGGATTGTTAGGCAAGTGGCCCGAAGCATAGATGGAGGATGCTATATGAAGAGGTGATGACATTCTGGTGACTTTTCAATCTTCATTCCACGTTTACATGTTGCATTCAATATTTTTGTTTATTGCCACAGGCTCCCTTTAACTGACCCCACTCCAAAGTGATGCCCGGGTCCCAACTGGTCCCACCAGAACTAGTTCCAGTAGAATCTTACCCTGAGAGTGACATGGCTTTGTTGATTCATGCATGTGCTTGGATTTATGCCAATTCCATTAATATCGACTCAGTGACTCACAGTCCTATCCGCATGTCGGTGGTAGAACATTTGGTGAACATCCTTTCCAGCAACTGTTGCCTACCCTACGGATTTGAAAGAACATGAAACAACACATCCAAAGGGCTATAGACTTGGCTTGTTTAGACCCAATGAGGGACATCAACATCCTTCACTTGTCATCTTGTCAGTACTTGAGCTACAATGACATCATTGTACCAAGGACCAATGTAAAGTGAAGATCCACCCTATGGAAGCATCAGCTGCTGAGAAGGGGGTGGCAGAAGGAACAAGGTAAGCTAAAGGGAAATCGATATTTTTTGAAAATCAACTATTCAACTATTAGAAATACATCCCAGTATATATTATATAGTATATCGTTTGTTTGTTCGTCCAGACATCAATCCTTGTTTTGGTGAAGTACATCAACATGGACGAATACCTACAGTTACCCGACATCCGACAACGATGGACATGGGAAAACACCTCCCACTTGGGATTTTACATGTCCAGGTTTGTTGGATAGAGGCAACAACACGTCACTTCGGATGGCCACAATCTCATTGTTGTTTTCCTTTGAGTGTTGTCTTTTTCTCATCAAATTGACCACTTAGTGAGCCTGCTCATAGCTCGCAATAACTCCCTAACGGATTTTGAAGGGTACGGCACAGGTCAGGATAAAGGACCCATAACTCTAGTCCACTTATGACCCTGTTGGGAAAATGAACGCACCAAAACATACAACCTGCATAATTAAAACACTGTCCTGATGGCCAGAGAATAACTTTTATCAGCATGACGACAAATGCACAGCCATGTTTCCTAATCATTTCGCATTCTGTCATCTTACTTAAACAATATTGAACAAGACCAGTTAATGCTTGCAGCCAAAACAAACACCTTCGATATTTAAAGTTTCTATATACTCTTCCCATGAGAAATAGACTCCCGAAGAAAAGAAGTAGGGAAACACACACTGCCTCGGCCTCCATTAGTTTTCCTGGAAAATACATCAAAGGTTAACCATGTATTTCCACGTGTTTTTGTTGAGCGAGGTGTCCCCTTCTTCCCATCTCCCCCAACGTACTATAGCACGTCTCCACGTACAATGGCACTTGTCGGCCATTGCGGCTGCCCACCGACCATCCCACCGTCCAACCGCCTGGGCAGCGCAGGCCGACGCCAGCAGCGCCTGGTTGAGGTCGCGATCCGAGCCTCGGCGGGACGCTGAGGGAAGTTCTGGAACAGCAAACCCCTCCAACAGGGTCTATCACGGTCTATCTAGTCTGACTCTTCATGAGACCCAAGCGGGAGAATTGAGTTTTGGTAGTTTTGTAGGCATCCTGCAGGCCTAGAGGTCCAAAAGAAACAGTAACTATACCCGGACCCTCCTGTCGGGGTGTCTATTTATAGCCCCAAACAGCTGTGATTCTGATTCGGGGTGTCCACGTCTATAGACCCCGACTGTGGGTGCTGGTACCTGTTACCGGATTGAGTCGTGTTTTGGATTGCTTTCGCAGACGTCAATTCCAACCACATGAAGTCCAACTGTCCGAGTGGCTCGGCGGGGCTGGTGGGGGCAGGAACCCCATGTTGGACTTCACCAAGTCCACATGTTTGGAATCGATGCGTACCTGCCATTGGCTTGGTGAAGGGAAAAAACCAAGGGCATCGGTAGCCAGTGACTTGGGACAAATATGGACAAATGATGGAGAACAAGGTCTTCAAAATGTAAGGCTCCCAACATATCCTGGGAAGTTAGACCCCCTGGCACACGCACCCCAATGGAGGCAGGCGAGCCTTTGACACATGTGGTCAGAGCTGTGCAGCAAATGGATCCACAAGCCTGCCTAAGCGGGTTTGGTCTGTGAAGGCCAATCAAGCCCACCCAGGCAACATACATCACCAGTTGCATCAGGGAGGCCAAGCCTGTGGCGAAGTTCCGACTTCGCAGGCAGTTCGGCGCTGAAAAGGAGTGAAACACGACTCGGAAAGCAAGGTCTGCTCCAGCATGTTCAAAAGTCTGAGCAGCTGGCCGCACTGCGGCTTCTACAAAGAAAAGCGCTTCATGCAGCAAGGTGAGGCAACTCCACGAGTGGCGCCAGGCCCGTCTTCTTGGCGTTCTGGATGGCTGCGTCTTTGTCAGGCATGGTTCCGGCAGGCTGCAGCCCTTTCGTCTTAAGGGCAGTGCAGCTTGCCTGCCCATGTGATCATGTCATTGGCCTTGTGCATGTTCCTTCAAGGGCGGACAACCTGGCGTTCTCCATGGCGATGGTTGCCGAATCACTGGCGTTCTCCAGCGCTGAGTCGGCAATGCAATGTTAGCAAGGCACTTGCAAGCTCCATGTTCAGTTTATTTTGAAAGTGTTGCTTGGCCGCCGTTGTGGCGGTGGTGGTGCTGGTGGTGCTTCGTTGCTCAGCGCCGCCGCGCCAGGCAAAGAATTGCCTTCCAGGAGCTTCGTCGGGGCTTCGCCGCTGCAGCAATGCCACCTCTCCAGCTTAAACAGAGTACTGCCAGACTTACTTAAGATATAGATTTTCAAAATTATGGCGAGGGTTGACTCTGGTTGACTAGTTGCCTATATACACGTGCAATCCCAAGGAATCACGGCATGGGGAAAACAAAACAAAAACAAACTCTCTCTCTCTCTCTCTATATTTTTTTTGCTAGACTTCCAAAGTTGAAAGATTATCATTACATATTGATCAATCGCACCTCCACCAATACTTTATGGTCCCTATGAATTTCACCTAGCCTCTGAGAGGGTTTTTGCTGGAGAACGAACGTCCTTATCTGGACCACCTGGTTTTGCTTAGGTAATTTATGTCTTGGGTCCATCCTATTACCAGTAACAGTTTTTCCGCTTTGCAATTTAATGAAGTGGTTGTCACTCCAAGACGCACAGTTGGATTTGTCTATGTACTGCAAGCCTACCAGACCAGGCTTGCAGTGGATGATGGTTTGTAAGGGCCTTGTTCGTTTACTGACTGGTACAGGCTACCCAAGTTATGCCTGTTTTCCCTATGGAACAAACTTAGCCAATCCGCCGACCCCTCATTCTCCTCCACTTCGGTCACTCCGCGGAAATCCGAGTTGCTCTGCTCCAAGAGGGATCTCGCCATGGCCTGACATCGATGCAAAGAACGATATTTGCTGCAACAAAACACTTCCATGTGTCCATGCATGGAAGGAAACAAAAAACTACGTTGACCCCTTGAACACGGGCAAAAGAGAAGCCGTCCCATGTCCAGGTCGTGTCATCCGAATCCTTGTACCCCACGGTCCGGGACCAGGGCCGAAGCACGAAAAGGAAGAGTTTGTGGGGTGTCACCGCTGTCACCGGATGCCACCGGATTGCACGTGTCGACGGGGATCGAGCGTCGTGTGAACTGGGTACTGCCCAGTACGAGCCGAATCGAGGTCAGGGCTCTGGGGGTTCAACCACAGTCAGTAAACAATTAATTTATTACTATTACTATTTTGAATGGGTCATGGCTACCCCCACCCCAACCCCAGCAGCTCTTAGTCTGGGTGGTTGATGTGGAAGGCCCCTGCATTCCTGAGGAGAGCCTTAGAGATCTGTTCTTGCTCGCTTTCTAGTATGTACCTTTTCAATACTGCTTTAACTGCTTGTTCCTAGTAGCGTCCTTGCTACTAGCAGTACTGGCCTCCAACCTAATAGCGATGGCCTCCAACCTATAATAGCGATGGCTTCCGACCTAATAGCGATGGCCTCCGACCGTGCGTAGCTTCGACCACTACGGTCCTGGTGGCCCATTTGGGCTCCGTTCACGGCCCGCCGCTGAAGTCGTTTTTTTCGGTGCGCTGGCTGAGGGGGGTGGGTGGTTCCGGTGTGAGGGGGTCAGTCTAACCACCTTACTTGAGGATTATGGGATGGTTGGAGCCCTACTAGGGAATCTTCCCCCATGCTCAGGGGGATGGAACGGAATCACCCGAGGTGACACCCCAGGGTCCCAGGGTCTCACAGTACGTGATTGCTTGAGCGGAGATGGGATCGGATCTTCGTGGACACAAACATGATCCAAATGCCTCAAAAACTGTGAGAAACTTGTAGCCCCTGCGCTCCTGGCCCACATCCACAGAAGGTGGGGTTGGGGTGGGTGCCAGGAAGGGCCATTCCCCACCGAATCTGAGGATATGGGACAGGAACCCTAGCGTACCATCGTCCAGGTGCTTTGGTGTATTTGGAAGGCTCGCTTTGAGCCGAGAATTGCAGCTGGAGATGTTCGGAATGAGACTGTCCAGCAAACTAGACTAAAGACCCGAGCTGGCAAAGGATAACAAAGGAATGGTTTCAACCGTTTCTTCAGCGCCCGCCGTCTACCCGCCGTGTACCGTTTCGGCGCCTCTTCCAAGGGATCTGCAACTGGTCCGTTGACCTCCCTTTCCTGTCGCTGTCGCCACATGAAGCCATCACAGGCGGTGTTTTTGGGGCCAAACCCCTGGATCCACATACCATCTGAGAGGGTAATTGGGCACACTGCTTTGAGGCACCAAACCTAGTCAGCCCAGGGTGGTGGCCCGACCTGGTTCGGTACGGCGCCGAACCGGAGTCGTGACACCGTCGAAAAAAACACATCACCTTCCCTAGAGCTCCAGTCGTACCTCAGAAGGTATGACTGGACCCGAACATGGCACCCACCCCAAACATCCCCAGTCCCACCTTCGAAACGAAGGTACGACTGGAGCCCTAAACCTTCGATGTGGAATCCTGCAGCCTGCACCGAGAAAAAACGTACACTGGAGAAAGGGACATGATCCTCAAACATGTACACTCCCGAAAACTAACATAGACCCTGACGTGAAGTTCCCATGGAACACGATTTTCCTCTACCAGCCAAGGGTTTTCAGGTTCCATGTTCTTCCAGGGTGTAACGACTGGGGCCCCATTTTCCTGCGGTTTCAGTTTCGGGTCGACGGCAAACGTTTTTTCTGCTCACACTCACCGTGCTCTCCGTCCGGGTTCCCCACCGATGGACCGTGTCGGTTCGACTCCGAATGGGAGATGACCCTACAAAAATCAGGGTCTGTACCGGTACCCAAGCTTAGGAGTACGAACTCAGGGTCTGAGTCTTCAAAGGGGTCACCAATGGAAGCCCCAGCCCACCACTAAAGGACCTCCAGCCAGGACACCCCTTGAAGGTCCATAGTATGCTCAATGCCATCTCTGAGTATATGGTCCCAAAAGGACTTGTAGCAAACTTTTTGGCACACTTGGAGGTTTTGTGAAATTCAAGTGGATTTCCTGGGGTGGACGCAGCCGACCAATCTCTCTATATACATAGAACCACATCCAAACACTTCTACATGTAAGTCGGAAGAACAACACCGATGGTTCTTCAAAAACTAATTATACTCACTGAAATAATCATGGAAGTGGAAAACCACCTGTTTGTGGAAGAAGTTGTCATCCAAGGAATTATATAGTTTCCATCAAACAACCCTGGCCTCCGACGCTCCGAAATCCTACCATGGTTTCGGCTTTCATCCCTTAAACATATAAGAGGTATCTGTATGACAATCTGTTCAGTTGACCCAAATTCCACCAGGATCCACCAGGGTGTTTGGGGGTTGGACCCACAGCCAACAGATCAGTTTGACCTCATTCTACTGGAGTTGATATACACAAACACTACTCGGTTTTCAGGACCAGGTTTTGCTGGTTCCACTTGAAACTAGGATGGACTTTGACTGAGATGACTGGAGTCAGCCGAGAACCGCGAGAACCAGTTGTTGACTGCGTCATACGATTGATTGACCTGCGCGTCAGACGAGCCACAGTCCAACTCCGTGCAACCCGAGGCGCAAGGAACTCCAAGGACTTGCGCGACCTCGGGTCTGCCCAAACACTCCAGATTGTATGGAATATGGCCCTCAAACCCATGAACAACAAAGGTTTGCACAAACAAACACGATGTTGTTTTTGCTAGGGAGAAAACAAACAAACAGGTTTTTGATGGTTTGTGGGGCCCCTAGTAGGGAATTTATTGTCTACATGTGGTGATTTCAAGGGCCGGGGCGGCATATCTATTCCAGTCCCAAACAGGTCGTGTCCGGCGTCCCAAACTCGCGGGGATCGCTGTTCAGCTCGGACTACGCGGGCGACTCATTGGGGCGTCCTGGGGTGTGGCGCTGGACTCGTCTGGGGTTTGGGTGAGTTCTTTTTTGAAGGAACGTGGAATAGACAAACATATGACGTCTTTTGTTTTCATGTCATTGACACTGGACACCCATGAATCACAGTGAATCAGTTTCATGTTTCTCTCCATTGAGTTTTTGTTATACACAGTTTTATATGTTTACACTTTATACACTGTGAGCATTCTGGAGTCGACTACCTCGTGTGCAATCGGGTACTTCAAGTACTTGTTGTTTGAGTTCCGTGTCATGTCCCAATCTTCCAAAGCACGAACGGTCAGTCCAGGTTCACCCCAAAACAAATCAAATGTATGGAAACATATGGAAACACACATGCAAACATCATACTCTACAACAGCATGGAAACACAAAACAGAATCAAGGAACCATGGAAAACTAACCATTGACACATGGAAAACGCTATGGAAATATTATGGAAATCTATGATGCTTTGAGGGTGCAAAACAAAACATGTAAAATATAAAATCCCTCCATGTAACGTCCGCCTAATTATGCTTAGGAAATCTTAGGAACAATTACAGTAAACTATACAATGTCTCTGCACATGGTTTGTGCCACCCCAAAAAGTGTGCTAGGGGTACATGCGGGCAACCAACACCGACACTCAGAAATATCAAAATTCATCCAACTTTCATGTTCAATATTGTTTCACGTTTCAATCTGAGCAAGGCTGGTTGAGCTCATAGAAATGGGAGGAACAAAACAATCCCGTCTTCCAGCCTTTTGCCTCCAAGTGGCTCCTCAAAGGCTTTGCGCAGCGCGCGATCCTCGTCGCCTGATAAGACGAGCCCGTCCGACTGGCACTTCTTGTTCCGCCGTGCGGCGGGGACAACAGCAGCTTATGCCCATCAGGATCCCCATGGCTACATGAGAGGGTGATTGGCTACTACTTTTATGTGTCTGGGAAATGTGTTTCAAAGGATCTGGGGATTCTGTAGGGAACAGCTTCCAATTGAGACAACCTCCTGGCAATGGATTCCAAGTTATTCAGTGCATCCAGGCGTCAAATGTATTGATCATTGCCTATAGCCAATTAGCCAATTGTCCACTCGTCAACCGTTGACCCTTCTCGTTGAGATGTATTTCTATCCGGACTCGTCGACCCGTCTTCGTTCGTGCGAAAACGAACATGGGACATGTCCGAACCGATACGACAGGTACGACCCCGGTGCATGCATGTTCGAAAAACTCACAGGTCGAAAAATGGATTTTGACCGGGGTATACCAAAACTCTACCTAGCCTTCCAAGACCTCTGAAGGAAAGGTTTGACCTGTTGTCGTAGCGTAAATTCCTTATTAGTAAACAATGGTTCTTCGGAAAAAAAACATGTACAATCCGGCTGCTTCGTGTCACACGCTTCGCATCCCTCACTGCTCCACCGACGGAGACCAATAGGTCTGGACATCACCCCCTTTGACCGAACGACTGGACCCGACGGTCGGTACGACCAGTCATACCCGACGTTTGGGCACCGGCCCATGACGGGGGTCGTACATGGTCTCACCTTCTCAAGAACGATTGGGCTACGAGCTCCCAACACAGAGCCAACTGAGACGTCCTGACGTCCTGACGTCGTGTCTGGATATTGGTGGATGGTTTTGGATTCGTCGTTCGCGGCTGCCGGGGTCAGGGTGGGACGAAGCACAAACACACGACACTCAAAACCAGGCCTTGGCCGTGGAGATATCAAAGTCAATGCAAGTTGCAGCCAAAGTCTACAATGCCTTGAGTATATCCCATCACCAGTAACCTTGAACGATGGTTGGATATATGTGGGCGACCAAGTCGGGTGCAGGCCGACATCTCAAAAATCTGACAATCCTGGATGAAAAAGGAATCATTTGAAAGTCAATATCTGGACACAACTTCAAGTACCGAAACGGAACATGGCCCGGTGCAAACAGGTCAACCTCCGCCCAAAACGGTCGACTCCAAGTATCACCCCCTGGTCATTTGTGCACCACGTATCCAAATACGATCACTTGTCATTTAAATTGGCCAAACACAGATCCGTCCCAAAACTGCCCAAGTAGATTTAAATTGCCCACGTTATAGTCAAATCAAATCACGTGAACACGCGACATTCGTTTTTTGGTTGAACCGCGCCTGATTGGGCTCCTGAAATCGCCGACTCCAAGGACCGATTCTCGGCCAAGCCTGACAATGGGCGTTCGTCACCCATCAGGCGAAAAAGTGAGGTTCGAAAAAGGACCGACCAAGGCTCTGGGGTGAGGTGTTGATAATTTTGCAGATACTACATGATTGATATTTAACGGAAGACCAGGCCTATTAAGAACCTCAATCGTAATATTGTTTGAAAAAGACAGTACCCGGGTGTGTGTTTCAAAAGCCTGAACATTGGACTAGTGTTTCAAAAGCCTGAACATTGGACTCTTTGAACCATATTGAACTAAAAGGGTGCTGAAGTGAGGTCACTTTGTTCCTGAGTGAGTGCGTTCAAAATGAAGAAACTAAAGATGTATTCGTCATTCTGATCATCTTCAAGTTGAACGATTCTGGAGAAAACTGTAAGAACTTTATCCCAAAAATGGTTGCAAAATCCATGCAAGGTGTCCAATCGACACCTAGTCTAGCACATGACCCCACCTTTGCGATGGTCAAACCGCTCACCTATTTTTTGGCAGGGCCAACTCTGCGAATTGATGCATGCCATCACTCACCCAGCACCTTCCAACAGGTCTCCGAAATGTAGTTTTTGCAAACTATAAAAATCATAAAAAAACGCAGGTGGTGACCTGGCACTTTCTGGGTCCTGGTCCTTTTTTATCCTTTTCTATACTCTGAGACCAAAAAAAATATCGAGAGTAGATGGCACAATCACAAAGAGGTGGTGTATTCGGACCCCCAAGAGGTGGTTTGCACATCTACTCTGAGGTCTGAGACCATGAAATAGAACTCTGACACAGTCGGCTTGGACGGGCAGCTCCCACCCGCTCTTCGGATGGGCGAATCGCCATCGGGCATGTGGCGAATGAATCGCCGTCGGAAGTTCCCTGCCTCGCCACCCGGACTCGCTGTCGCTGGACTCGCCGTCACTGATGATGTAGACTCAGCGTGCGCGTGTTATGTGGAGCTTGGCCGTTCTTTGTGAATCCACTTCATGATGCAGAATGGTTGTTTCAACTTTCCTTGTTGGGCACGCGGCAAAAACAAACGTTCCTGTGTACACAATGACGGAGTGCCACAGGAAAAAATGGTTTCACGTGTGGTGACGTTCCCGAAAAGTGCACTCGCATCTTTTCCGCTCTTTTTTGCGGCAGATCCACTGGTAATTTCTATTCCACAGCCTGGCATGCTTGGTTCTTTGACTTTGGCATGCTTCGCCCAATGACTCTTCACGCGCCTGACGTGTTTTACAGTCATGCCAGCCTGAGCGGACTATCCCTGCACAACTTCCTTGTGTCGGCCGAGCACCAGCTGCAACAAGTTTCAATATCAGCTGGGGCCACAATCACACCCACAGCCACCAAAACATAGAATCTCCCACCAACCTCTTGTTTGCGCCCAAGTGTGGGGCATCATGCCACCCGGCCGAAGGAGGCAGGTGGAGTCAGCAGTGACGCCTTCCCCCGCTCCATGCGGCTGCGGTGTCCACGATGTACTGTGGCGCACTCCGTGAACGAACGTCACTTGCCCCCCCTTCCGACCCCCCCCCACATGTAAATGAACATCAACATGTTGGTCAACAAACACGAAGTCGAGGTTTTATCCTCCCCTTTTTCAGCCAAGGGGCCATTGGAAGGGCGATCGACCTTGTCCCTGAGATCCTGAGCCGACAGGGCCGGACCCTCCTGGGCCTATCGGATGGGTTCGCAACCGGACCAAATAATCCGAACAAGACATGCACAGTGGATGTATAGGACCAATGTCAAATAGAGAAATGAAAAACAACTCACATGAACCCGATCCGCAAAATAAAAAGGGAGAGGTCTGGCGCATCTGCGCATTCTGACTCACTATAGGTATCTGAACAAGTCGTCAGGCGAAGACGGGACGTGTCATCTTTGGCCAAAAGACTAAACATATCTGACAAGGACGGAAATCGACCTCTGCAGAAATCAATTCTGGCTATTACCCGGATGACGACTCTCAGATCAAACCACTTGTTCTGTGCTCTTCTGAACCCCGTCGGGCCGAAAACGTCAAATCCGCATATCGTGCGCAAGCGAGGAAGGTCTTGAAAGGCAAAATCGCAATTTTGCAGCCAAGGCTATGCTGAAAAGCGATCTACTTTTCACCAAGAGTGTGGTCACACTACGGGTTCTTACAGTATAGTAGTTAATAAGGGCTGGTGTTAAATCGAGGTGTTGCACCGCTAATTCGTTGTTATTTACAGTATATTGAAATCCTCGAAGTGCATTTGAACTGCGCAGGCTCACAAAATTGGTGGCCCCAACGGGCGCTTGTCGCGACTGCGCTCTCGTTGTGGTGACGCGCGCATTTTCGGACATGGTGGTGACTTTCGCGGCATGCAGGCGCAAGGGAAACCTTGCGTTAAGTCGACTTTTCGTGACAGGCGCAAGGGATCGGAGCGGTTTTACTTCGGTGTGTAGATATCGTGGCAGGCGCAGCACTTTGTGAATCTTGAAGTGCGGATTGCGTGGCAGGCGCATATTTTGCAGCGCAAGGCTGTGAAAAGCTCTCAAAGAACAATAGCAGCACCACAACCACCCGAAAAAATCACAAACATGTTTTGAAAGGCAAAGTCATGGTTTTGCAAAATTAGGAACTGAAATGACGGGCCGGGTTTTAGGTGACATGCGTGTACGGGCTTCACAGAGAAAAGCAAAGTCACAGTTTTGCAGCGCAAGGCTGTGAAAAATACTTTCAAAGAACACAAGCAGCACCAGCCGACCATTGATCATAATCAAATCCAAACTAAAATGAAAACACAAGTGCACAGGAGTCAACAAACAGAAAACTGAACAGTTGACATTTGCATTCAACACACATGTAATCAAGTAGTTTGCACTTCCTGGGGTTTCCGGGATTTTTCTTTTTCACTTTCAGCCTATCTCTACTCCGAATCAAATCCACACATGACTGACTGACTTGCTGAACCGCACAATGGCCTCCTTGTCCGGGGCAGTAAAAAAGATGCCACTCACATCGCCACTCAGTGGCCGGCAGATCCGGTTCAGCGGGATGAGGTTCATGATGAGTCTATGTACGGCCACCCCATCGGCGATCTCATCTTTTGGGACCCCGAAGAGCCCATTCAACAGCGGCCTGCCTTTTACCTTGTATATGTCTTCTTCTCGAATCAAGCCGCAGATGCCTTTGGCCAGGAGCCCTCTGCAAAGAGGCTCCCATTCACCATCGGCAACCATCACTCTCGGTGGTCGACTGTAGACTTGTTCAGCCTCCGGCAGCAAGTACTCTTCAAAGTTGCAGACGTAGTGGAGTGAACCCTTCTTCACTACGCTTTCGAGAGGAACCCTCGCTACCTCATCTGGCAATGCACTCAAGGGAAGTACTGATGCGCAAACGGAAAAGCAGCCAGGCCTTATGGAAGCCGAAAGTCTCTGTGGGTGATTGCTGAATATGCATGGGAACGATGGATTGGGAATCCATACTCCGTAGGGTCCACGAGGGTTGAGTGGATGACATAGTCTCCAAGCAACTGCTCTTCATGGGCCAAAGACCATTTGAAGAGCTTGGTGCACTCATGGATGAAGATTTTGGGCTTCCGTCTGCGGACTAAAGCGCAAAGGATGCAAAAGGCAAGCGCAGATGGCCCGAGAAAGCCTTTCTGTGTTCCCATGCTGCTCCGACCAGCCGAAGCAGCCAAAAAGAGGTGTTGAAAGGCAAGCTCGCTGTTTTGCAGCCCAAGCCTGTCAAACAGCTTTTCAAACAACAAGAGCAGCGCCACGGCCAGCCGAAGCTGTGATTTGCCTGCATCGGCAGGCCGGACTTCAGTTGTAGTAGTGGTGGTAGTGGTAGTGGTAGTGGTGGTAGTGATAGTGGTGGTGGTGGTGGTGGTGGTAGTAGTACTAGTAGTAGTCGTCGTAGTAGTCGTAGTCGTAGTAGTCGTAGTCGTAGTACCCTGAAGATCCTGTAAGCTTTAGAAAGTGGCTGGTAGCTGAGTTTTGTGGCTTCTGAACATGTTGGAAGTTAGGTTTGAGAAACAAGGGTTCTTGCCTAGCAGATCAAAAACCTAGCTTCTTTGAAGGTTCTTGATGCTCTAGCAGCTTTGAAAACTAGCTTCCAGCTTTTTGCATGCAAAAAAGCAAGAAGCACTGCTTTGAAGGTCAAAGAAGCACTTCTCAGAAGCACTTCTTGGATTCCAAGAAGCTCTTCTTGGATATACTGTATGTACAATATGCTAAAGCCAGCAAAGCAAGCAAAGCACAGCTTTCTTCATTCCATTGCCATGGCAGCAGTTTTGCCTGTGGAGCCTGAGCAAGGCACTTACCAAAAAGAGATTGCTATTGTGAGGGCACACCTGGAGACTTGTGACCCCCAAAGCTGGAGTGCTGACCCTGAGCAAGCCTGTGTAAGGCACAGAATCTTTTTAAGTGTCTTCCTGAAAAGAGATTTGAAAAAGACTCAGGTGAAAGAAATATTTTTTGGAGCCTGCAAAAGGCTGCAGCAAAGCGAGGCCAAAATGATTGCAAACTGTATCCATGAAGTGAAGAAATGGCTGGTCAAAAAATGGAAAAATTTGAAGACTGGAGAGAAGACACATCCAGGAGTTCTTGCCCTTATGCATGCAATTTTTGGAGATGCTGCAGAGGGCAAGGCGAATGACAAGCCTGTGCAAGGCATCAAGAGGAGACTGACTTCCAAATCTCCACCAGCCAAAAAGAGCACACCCATAAAGATTGCAAGGGATGCTGGTGTCTTGGACATCAGCAGTGAATCTGGTGAGAGCCTGCAGAGCCTGGGCAAGGCATCAAGCATTCCTAGTCTGATAGCAGGTGTCCCTTTACAAAATGCAGTTGTGCTGAGGAAGCCAGCAGGCTCACCCATGAAGAAGCCTGCAGCAGGGAACAAAAAACCTGCAGCTTCACCCAAAGCCTGTGCAAGGCAAACACGCATTGCAGAGCCTGTTAGGGCCTGTGCAAGGCCAGCTGTGCAAATGGCTGAGCATGGGGCCTGGAAAGCTTCTGTGAATTTTTCTTGGGTGAAAGCAACCTTTGCAGCCAAAAAGGCATACATTGTCGCAAGAGACAACCACCAAAGCAAGCCACAATGCCTGGTCAATTTGAACATGGAAAAGGGCCCAGAGCAAAGCCGACTGATGCAGATACTTCTGGACAAAGCACAGCACCAGCAGGGCCTGAGCAAGGCAGAACTTGTGCAGATCAAGAATAATTTGCTCAAGTGTGCCATAGATGTGGATTAGAGACAACATATTCCAGCCTGCACAAGGCATGATACAGCCAAACCAACAAGGCATGATACAGCCAAGCCAGTGCATTTCAAGCCTGCGCAAGGCAAAGCAATAGGTGTTTTGTTTTGCATATTTTCATTTTCACCCAACAGCCTGAAACAGGCTACAGTTCTTTGATTAAAAAAGACTAGGGTGAGTTGGTTAGGTCAAGGGTTCACCTCAGTTGGTTAGGTCCACACACAAACACAGAGGTTAATCTGTTGCTGTTGGCTCAAAAGCTAGGGGTGCAACTGTTTCTTTGGATCTAGATTTGCATTCCCCAGCACACCAACCAACACTCCACCACACACACACACACCAACTCACAGCCAAGCATTCTCCAACACACAGCCAAATACAAACTACACAAACTACACAAGTCACAATAAGGATGCACAACTTTAAGTCACACAAGGGCACCTAGCTAAGGCACATAATTAAGTCATGCTTTCACAACTTCCCACAAACTTCATACAATTTCACAATTTCACAGCATAGCTCCATATACAACCACAACTTCAGCACACATCATATACCACTTCACAAACTATAGACACTACAGTGCAGACCGCCACCTCTTTAGGTGGATCTGGAGCCATGGCCACAGGGTTGCTGTGGGTGAGCCTGTGTAAGGCTTTGCTGGTGGCATGTTTGATGCCACCTGCCACCTGCTGGAGCCTGAATAAGGCTTTGCTCTCAATGGCCTTCCTTGAGCCTGCACAAGGCGGTTTGAAGTGGTGGAGGGTGAGGGAGTACAAGGGCAAAAGGTACTACCTCTCCTTGAAAGGGAAATGGTTTCCTCTGGATGAAGAGGATGAGGAGAGCCTGGATAAGGCAATCCAAGATGATTGGACTCTGGGTGCCTACATAGCTGGTGAGTCAGCTGTGTGTGCTTGGGAGGATGAGTGGGAGGTAGATGAAGCGCCTCCCTACTGGCACCCAGAGAACAGGAGGTGGGTCAGGGCCTTCCCAAACATGGAGGGCTATGGGTGGGAGCAGGCCACAGAACTCCCAGAGCCTGAGCAAGGCATGCAGGACACTTGGTGGTCAGCTGGGCCTGAGCAAGGCCAATCCTCTTCATCTGCATCAGGCAGTTGGTCATCTTGCAGGCCAGAGCCTGGGCAAGGCTGGTGGGAGCCTGCGCAAGGCTGGCAAAGAGGTTGGGCTGCCTCTTGGTGGGATGGTGGGAAGCAGAGTTGGTACAGAGAGCAATGGTATGCTCCTCCAACTCCACAATCTCACACCCCCACTGAGCCAGCAAGCCCCAACACTGAGCCTGAACAAGGCAGTCCAGATGATGTGCCCCTCACACCTGATAGATGGTGCATGAGGGGCAAGCAAGCTGATGCAAACAGGCTTGCAAGAAGGAAGCTCCAAAGGGAGGGCAAGCCAGTGCCACCTGAGCTGATGCCAAAA